AGACACCTCCTCTTTTCTTTTTCAGATTTGTTCCAATTTTCTGCCTTCCAAGATTTCAAAGACTCCTTAATTGCACCCAATTTTTTTGCTAAAATGTAAGAGCCTGTTCCAACCACCTGAGTTTCAGACCAAGTATTTTTTCAAAACAGTACAGTCTTCTTCAAACCAAGCATGTTTCAATTTAAAGCTAGAATTCCTTTGGACTTGCCCATCACAAAACAAGTTGAAGAGGGGAATGGTCTGAAATTGGCCTTGGCAAAGCCTGCTATTTCAGGTTTTGGAATAGGTCTTCCCACCCCGGGGACACCAAAAATCTATCAAGTTTTACTAGGACCGGATTCTCTTGGTTGTTTGTCCAAGTAAATTGGGCCCCAATTAGTAAAAGATCTATCAGTTCAAATTGATTTACAAAATTTGCAAATCGCCTTCTGTCTCTAGCTCCGTTTCAACCCCCATTTCTGTCTTCCAAAAATCTAGTTACATTGAAGTCTCCCCCTACTACCTAAGGAATTGTGGAAGACCCTCTTGCTTCAGATAAATCCCCCCAAATTCTTTCCTTTTCTTCATTTAAAGTTGGGCCATAAACATTGGTAAATAAACCCCTCACTCCCCCCCCCTCCCACTCTAATTCAACTGAAATGGAGAAATCCCCAACATGGGAGTCAATCATCTTGCATTTCGATCTATCCCACATGGTAATTAAGCCTCCTGCACTTCCTCTAGATGGTTTGTAGATCCATCTAACTTCCCCTTCTCCCCAGATACTCCTGATTGTTTCAGCTTGCACCACTTCCAATTTGGATTCTTGCAAGAAAACCACCTCCGGCCTCCATCTCTTCAATAAGTCACACACCACCCTCCTTCTCCCTAACCCTAAACCCCTCACATTCCAAGACAAGATTTTTAACTCCATAAAGAAACTCGATAAGAACACCCCCCCCCCTTTTTGCCCCAGCCTTTCACTCTTCTCTACCCCTTCTTTCCCCCTCCCCTTACCTGACCCTCCCCTTTCCCCACCTTCTCATTCAAACCCCAATAGAGTCTTAGCATTTCCCTATTTTTCTTGAAAGAACTTCCCCCTTTTCTAGCGTTCAGTTTTTCTTTTTCTGCCTACAACCACTTCTCTATCCCCTCTAAATAGCTAACTGTCTCCTCCTCCAAGCCCTCTATCGACACCCCCAAAAACTTCCCCAGCCCCAACAACTTTGAAGTCACCCAGGCAGAAGTAGAGTTGACCTTCTTCCTTCACTCAATTTTCTCACCCCTCTCCCCCTCCGCAACCACCTCCTTTCCCCTTCTCTGTTCACCCTCTCGAATCAAAACGGAACTGCGTACCTGATAATTTGGGATTTTGGACGACGTATGTAATTATGGGGTAGCTTCCTCTCTAGCTTCAATTATGGCCAATGGGGTAACTTCTTCTGGCCAACGGGTTTCTTGCGCATCTCAGCTCCACATCGGCCTGCAATCGAGCACAATTATCCCTTTCTACAAGGAAAATCTTGTCTATCGAGGCTAACCAATTCGGACCCGGTGGTCAAGCACACTCACCCTCCCGAGTTCCCAGATGGGCTTGAGGAGAAACTAGATGGGTCCAAGTTTCTTTCGGGTTGCTTGGACCATTTGTGGTAGAGTAGTCCTCCCCACTAATTACCCTTGGTTTTCACCTGAACCACCCCCAAGGGTCTCTCTACCTATTGGCTTGCCAAATTCAGTGGTCCCCCCCTTTGTTGCTCTAGCATAGCTGGCATCCAATCCAATTCTTTTAAACATTCCAGAATAGTTTCTTCTAAGGCTTCTTTCGAAAAGCCCGCTCCTCCTTGGTCCTTGTTTAAAATTTGAACCTCCTTTTCCTGTTGTCCATTGATACTCGGTTCCATCACACGGTGGGGGAGGGATTTTTGACTTCTCGAGCCAACCCCCTTGGTTGACCCCGTAGCCTCCGACCCCGTCTCAGGTATGGATCTTGAAAGACCCCTCTCCCTTCCCTCTTTCTTCCTCTCCTCCGGTAACCGCCCTTGACTTCCGCTATCCTCCACCTCCTCCTCTAGAACTATTGTTCTACTTACCTCTAGCTCCAAATCTTCTCTAGCTCCTCCGGGAGGATTCAGTCTAGCATATACCCTGCTTAGTCTGCCCACCAATCAATCACCAACCGGTTTTGTCCTAACCTCCAAGGTCCATTGTACAACACCCATTCCGCCTCCTCCCTAGATGAGAAGATAAACAAGTATCGATCATCTATAAATTTTTTGATCCTCACCCCTGCAACCTCCCCCCAACTTCTTGCCACCCAAGATTCAATTTCTTCCACCCCCACCTTCCTCTCAAAGCAACCACTAAGCAGCCCTTCAGGAAACTCCTTCTAGCTTCCACTCCCCTTTCTTTCATTTCCAGAAATTGCCAATCCCCTCCCTTTGTATGATCGTCTCTCCAAACCCAGCCAAATCCCTACACCTACCGCACTTTTAAAGGAGAAGTTTCTTCTCAAGCCTGCCCCTTTCTTGTTCGGATTGTGCCAATTCTCCACCCCCCATCTACCTCCCTTTCTCCCCAGAAAACCCGAACCATCTCGGAACAACATCTTACGTGAATCGGACAATCAAAGCCATGTAAACAACTTGTGTGTTTGCCTTAGTATTACCTAATTGTCATAGTTAGGTTGCATATCCTTGAGGTAGTCTCTATTTTTTTCATGTGATAATGGGTTGTTCTTCTATCATTTGGTGTAACACTAGAAGACATGTCTTCACGGGGTTATTTGGATTTTCATTTGATTGTTAGCAGTATGTTTGTGTTCCATTGGATGGCTGAAGAAACTGTTGACCATGTGAACTCATCAAAACAAAATCACACAAGCATGCATTCACTAGGTGGTTTGGTTTATTCTTTGATCTGTAGCATGTCCACATTTTTTCAGAGGCCATAAGAAAATGTTATGATTATGTGAACTCATTGATCAACATATTAGACTCCCTTTGTATTTCTTGATATTCCTACTAAGGTAGTGGACCCCAGAAATAGTCTTCACTTTTCATATGATAATGGTTAGTTCATGTATCACTTGGAGTAGCAACAACATGCATGCACTCATTTGGTGATTTGGTATTTCAATTGATTGATAGAATGTCTATATTTTATTGAAGGGCTGCAAAAATTATGTTGTGACCATGTGGACTAATTGGAAACAAATCACCTAGGCATGCACTCACAAGGTGATTTGGTTTTAAATTTGATTGCTAGCATGTTCTTAGCTTATTGGAGGGTCAAAAGAAAGTGTTGTAACCACGTGAGTTCATTGAAATCAAATTACCCAAGCATGCACTCACTAGGTGATTTGGTTTTTCTTTTGATTGATAGCAAGTGTTGTATTGGAAGGCCATAGGAAAGTATTGTGACCATGTAAACACATCACAAAACATGTTAGGCTACCTTGGCATTTTTTGATTGTCATAGTAAGGAAGTAGACCTTAGAGGTAGCCTCTACTTTTTCATATGTTAGTAGGTTATTTTTTTGTATTATTTGGGGTAGGAAAAAGGCATGCACTCATTGGGTGATTTGATTTTTCATTTGATTGTTAGTATGTCTGTGTTTTATTGTAGGGTTGTAAGAAAGTGTTGTGACCATGTGAACTCATCAAAACCAAATCACCTAGGCATACACTCATCATTCATTAGGGATGTTGTGTCATCTGGGGTAACAATAGTAGAATGCACTCACTAGATAATTTGGGTTTTTGTTTGATTAATAGCATGAATGTGCTTTATCAAAGAGACGCAAGTGTTGTGACCATGTGAACACATTGAAACAAAATCACCTAGGCAAGCACTCACTAGGTGATTTGGTTTTTTATTTGGTTGATAGCATGCCATGTTTTATTGGAGGGTTAAAAAAATGTTGTGACCATGTGAACTCATTGCTCCACATATTTAGCTCTCTTTCCATTTCTTGATTGTCAAAGGGAGTGTATCCTAAGAGGCATACTTCGCACGTCATCAAGGCATGTGATGTTTTTTTCTTAATCAAACACATCAAGGCATCCTAGATGATGAGTTTTTTTTTTTGGGAATAAGAACCTTGAATCCTAGATTCCTAGGGTAGTTCCTTAGGTTCCATGCCAAGCAGCAACATCTTTTGCTATTAATTGTCTATAATTTTCATAAAAAATCTATAAGCTTCATTTGAAACATAGAAAATCAACATATTCATGAAAAAAACGAAAGAAAGAAAAGAAATTTTACAAAATAGAGGGGCTGAGCCTCTATTTTTGTCTCAAGAAAAGAAGATAAAGGGTGAAAGGAGATGATGATGATGATGAATGTGTGTTGACTGGATAAAATTTTGAGTTCTTCCATGCTTATTAGTTCAAGTTTTGAAGTCTTCAAGGGTTCAAGGCAGTATAGATGTTCATTGAATCCTAACAAATGGGAAAAATAATAAAAAGAAACTAGTATTAACTTAAACTGAATAATTTTGTTTAATAATGTGTATTTTATTATGACTAAAGGTTTAAATATCGATACAATAATGTTCTGTATTAGATGTATCTTATTGTATTATGAGGTTTTTGATACATCTGTTTAAAGTTGTTTTCAGGAAACCAATTCTTTTATTTATGAAATAATATAAAAACATCTATAAAATGAAAATTAAAAAAACTAAAAAAGAAAAAAACATGAAATGGTTTAAAATATTCATACAGCTGGGTGTATCAATACTTTACACCAGGATTATGATAATCTCGAAAGGTTGAGAATATAAAAGTATCCATGAGCACTGTGTAAAAAATATCTTAGCAATTAAGCAAGACAACCCTCCATGAGTGCTTTATCACCTAGGCAGCCTAGGCACCTTGACAACTATGATTCAATCACAATCCCATTCCATCCCATTCCAGCCCATTCTTATGCATTCACTTTCAAGGAGAGAAGAACAATAAAAGGAAATGTGAACGATGGATAAAGAGAATGGTGTATTAATACCAAGGAAGAGAACTCACTCGTGGTCAAAGAAATAAGACACAGCAACAATCATCTCTGATATTCCATCTTTGTCAATATCTGCTATGATCTATGGATAACAAGAAAAAATACTTGTCAACAACAAGATACTCATTTTTTTACTGATAAGGAAAGGATATCAATGGCCAAAATTATTTTTGGTGGTGCATGCAAGAACACATACTGTCTGCAAGCACACACACAACACACTACAGGCAAGAATACTTATCTAAAGATCCATACTTACTGGAGTACACAGGATATGTGAGTCCACATTAACATAATCCTCCATCCTGTCGTGTTTGTCTTCTGTCCACTCTTCATCTCCCCACATGGATTCATCAACATAATCATCATAGTCATAATTATACTCATCAGCTAGATCCTCGCTGTCACGGAATAACTCAAAAGATGAGTCAGCATCTGCTTCCAATGCTCCATCATTTTCCACAGTTGCCCCATGAACAGCCTTTTTAGTATCTTCAGATTCAGAACCACTCTCCTGCTTTTTCAAATCATTATCTTCAAGAAGTCGCCTCTTGGGGTTTGTTATGTTCTCTGCTTTGACAACTTCTGCTGTTGCAGTATCCTCGGATGAATTATTCATGCTAGTTGGCAGCTTAACACTTGCTTCTGCTTGACTAGAGTTTAGTTTCCCTTCATTTTCAGTGTTGGATACATTCACTGATGAACCCAGATGACCTTCTGGTGATGAAACCGAAGTGTTTAATCCAGACAAACTACTTCCATTTGTTTCTACAAAGAAAAGTGATGTTTACTGAAACAGTTAACTGCTGCTTCCTGAACATTACTCAATTTAACAGAATGAATTAAGTAAAGAATTTTCATTAAGCACTTTGTGCCCCAGTGGTGACTCCAACTTTCTCAGAGGTTGACATCTCTAACTGGTTGGTGCGACTCCAATCTAGAATTAGAGTTATAAGGCAAGACACCAAACACTCCAATTCAAGGCTATATGACTCGGCCAACTATTTTCTTCCCCTAAATCCTTCTCCATAGCCAACAATTCTTAGGTTTCATACCCTAGGCTACCACACACACAAACACACATTCATATGAATGTATCAAAGGGTGCATGATTACCTTTTTTTTCCTGGTAATATATCTCTATTTTTTATGAATAGGTTAGTAATGTATCTCTATTGCCCACCTAGTTGGTAGCCTAGGCGATAAACCTTCCAAAACATTTAGTAAGTGATGCTTTAACCAATCCTGAATTTCATTCATCATTGCCCCAAGAGAAATTGAGGAATGTACATTATTCATCAGGAAAATGGTGGATACATCATTGAGTCCATCTAAGGAGGAACAAAGATGATGAAAGGAAGATCACAAGGATGAACTCAGTGTCAGATTTTATAACAGATCTAACGGTTCACTACAGGCCAGGTGATATCTCATGAAGTGGGAATGATTTGGGCTTTCCTTGGCCAGGAGTGTTGTGTAGGCAGAGGGTATTTGTGTTGGGGCTCAGCCCTGCCAAAGCAAATTGTAGAGTATTGAGGAACTGACTAGGTCAGCCCTGGGGCTTTTGTTACATTTTTTTTGTCTTCTACTGTTTATACTTTCAAATAAATACTTTCTTTTCTCTCATTTTATCATTAATGAATTCTTCTTGAACTTGTTATCAATTAAAAGAAAAAGATTTGGGGCTTTCCTATAGCCCATAGAATGGAAGTTTATACTTGGACTGTGGCTTCAAGGAAGCTGCTAATGAAACAAGATAGAAAGAAGCAATTCCAAATCAGCCAACCATCATATTTTGTGTGGTAGAGGCTTGGTTTGTTTGCATTGCTTATTTGCATTGGTGCAAAAGCATGGGAGTGCAAATGCATTGAGAGTAAATTCTGGTTTACTTTCATTTCAGGTTTTACTTTGTTTTGCTTGTTTGCATTGAAAATGAAGTAAAGCCTGAAACAAAGTAAAGTAAAACCTAGAGCAAAAAAAACCAGAATTTGCACTACCATGTATTTGTACTAGTGAAATGAATTTGCACTGCAAACAAATGGAGCTGGAAGAGAAGAAATTGCACAACCATCTCTTCACCAACTGCAGAATGGCAAGAGACATTGGATTGTGGCTTCCAGGTCGCATGATAGATTAAGATAGACCATTAAGGGATGGATTTGGAAGGAAAGGAATAAAGAGTTTCGAAGTTAAGATAGACCTTGGATAACCTACAAAGAGAAGACCCTTTCTTTGTATCTCTCCTAACTGGTGCACTCTTTGCAGAGCTCATGGTGAGGATTGTTATCATTTATTTCTATCTTGTGATGTCGTTGCAAAGCATTGTGTCTGGCTTTTCTCTTTATTTGGGTTGGGTGTAGGTGGGAGATGCCAACAGAATTAAGCTTGTTGTTCAACTCATCTACCTTCTCATGGCCCCATAAAAGAAGAAGCATGTGGAGGTGTGCAAGAGCAGCTTTGATCTGGACAGTTTGGGAAGAAAGGAATAATAGGTTATTCCAAGAGAAGGAAAGGAGCAGCCAGGCCTTGAAGGGTTGCATCATGAATAGGGCGATACACTGGTTAAAGTCTATGGAACTGTTTCAGCCTTTCTCCTTTATTGATCTATGGAGGAACTGGACAGCAGTAGCAAGCTGCTCATCCATAAAGGACAGGGTTTCTACAAACTGGGCCCCTCCACCACAAGGTTTTCTAAAACTGAATTTTGATGGGAGCAGCCAGGGCAACCCAGGGCCCTCTGGATTGGGAGGAGTTCTGAGAAATGAGGCTGGAGAGGTCATCCTTCTTTACTCTGGCCCATTGAGAGTTGGGAATTCTGTTAGAGAAGAATTGTTAGCTGCCATACAAGGAATCCTTCTCGCAAAAGAATTGGGTGTGGAGCAGCTGTTGATTGAAGGGGACTCTAAGATAGTGGGGTGGCAAAATAATTCAAAGGAGGTTGCATGGATTTACAAGAACAAGCTAAGGAAGTATAAATGGCTGACAAAAAATGTCTGCTATGGTACAGTGGGTGGGAAGATCAATGAATGCCTTGCTGATATTTTGGCGAAGCAAGGGACAAATAGGGAAACACTGTTCTGGGACAAACTGTAATATTGTAGTAGCACTCTTGTACTCCTTGTTCAAATTTTATAGTTTTGTTATTTGGATTTCATGTGTTGGAGAGGCAGCATCTCATGTTTCCCTAAGGGCCTGTATTTTCCTCTTGATCTTAATGAAATGTGGTTTTATTTAATAAAAAAAAGAAGAGTTTCAAAGTTAAAGCTGGAAAAATAACAAATTTGAAGTATCTGCAGAGCTATCATACACTGTGTTGTACATTGATCATTAAAGACTTCAAGGACACAGAGGGTCAACAAAAGACAATGGGACAAGGACAATATTGTTCAACAATTTCATGATTTAGCTTTGTTATTTTCACCTAAGTTTGGGAATAATGTACTTTTTTGCAACTGTATGTCCCGCAGGAGTTCTGACACTGAAACTTTCTATCTTAAATCATTAGGAAGAAATAATTGAAGGTAACAAATGGATAAACTAAACCAGTATCACTAAACTCCACAAAAGGACAATATGTCTTTTGGTGAGTAGAAAAGGTTTCACAATTTGTTGAGGTAATTAGGATCCCATTGTATAGTAATTTGTTGTACATGTGTCATCTATATACTTGTGAGTTCCTCTATATTTTGGATAGCAATTATTAGCTTGATTTTGAACAAAAAGGTAAATGAAAAAAGAAAAGAAAAGAAAAGAAAAATAAGACACCAAAAATAGTAATACAAACTACAGACCACATATCAAAAATCATACAATCAGCCTCTCATGGAAATTATCTTGAAATAGAAGATTACTTACGAAGCATTGACTTCAAGCTAGCAGCCTCGGCCTCCTTAACAAGCAACTCATCATGGACATCTGGATGAGATCGATCGACTGGATCTGAATGCAAGCCTACATACCAATCTTTATGAACTTTTCGCCGAGGTACCTCCAGTTTATCTGACATCAAGTATCCTGACACCCTAAAATACAACAAAATAGGAACTAGTCCAAACCCAGGAAGCTTTGGAGTAAAAGTACACAGGAAATGAAGTTTAAAGAATTACCAGAATCATCTTAATAACTGATAATGAGATAATTACCTAAAAAAGAGGATTTCGCCATTGTAGGTGGCTAAAGCTATTTCTCTTACACCATCCTTGTCAATGTCAAATAGGAGAGGTGTGGAATGAACAGTAGACTGGTGAAAGGCAGGCCACCCTGTAAGATGCAATAAAGTAGAAAAGGATAAAAGAAGCAAATGCAGATTTCTAACCTCTGAACTGGAAATATTCTGCAGTAGTTTTAGTTACCATGACTAATTAGCGAATGTTCTCACTTCAACTCAGTACAATTGGCAGGAAATTTTCTGTAACTAAACCGTCTTCCAATTGAAAGATCAAAAAGTATACCTGGCATTTTATCTCCATCAGCACCCTCCAGTACTTCCAAGTAGTGGACAAAAGAAGGCACCACTATTTCAAGCTTCCCGTCACTGAAATTCAAAAAGATTGTAAGTACTTCCCATAGGTCTGATTCCAAGTATAAAGACCCATACAATGTGAATCTAGAAATAAAAATATGATAGTCCAGTACTCCAGTTTGTTACCAATCAAAGGAGACAAAGAAAAGCTGTCCATCAACTAAAAGCAGTGAAAATAAGAGGAAAAAAGGCACCACATTTGACACATTTATTGCATAAAAGTTGTATTTCAGTATCTTATATGAGTTAAAGAGAGTATTTACCTGTTGATATCTGCGATCAATGGCGTTGCATATATACTAGAACTGACCTCTGTCTGCCATCTTAGTTCTAAATTCCGAGGGCATCGAGTGTTCAACAGAGAATCTTCGTCTCTGCAAACGATCCAATAGCACCACAATATTTAGTAAGCACTTTGATACATCGTCAACATCACGATCATGACAGTCCAAAGGGCTTTCCTTATGTTACTAGGAAGCAATTGAAACACTTCAAGTATATTAAATAAAAAAAAAACACCCAATGAACTAAGCGTTGTCATTCGCAGTTCTAATTCCCTGTATATTACGTCTAAATTCAAACTTTGTGGTCGAAGAAAAAGGAAAGTTACTTGATTCCATTTTCTTAATTGAGCAAAAAAATAACCCTGAACCCAAAGAGAGACATAATGACTTACATGTTTGGATACCCAAGGGAATCGTCGGTAGCCTCTCTTGCGCGAAACTTATTTTTCTTCGCTTCATCCGGTTGCGATCTGGAGACGCCATATATGAGATTGAAAGATGCAAGAAGGAGGAAGTAGAGCAAAAAAACCGTCGTCGTCGGAGATTTCATCAGATCCTCGCCTGACCCGAGATTCAGCTCGGTCTCAGTAGATAAAAATCAGTTCAAGTAATTAATAGATAGTTAGCTAATCAAATGCGAGAGAAATCCTAGCCAGGGTATCGCGTAATTCGAGTGATAAACAATCCGAACAAAAACCCTAAACAGGGTTCAGGAGAAATCTGACTTTCTCGGCGACGACAGGGATGATCTTTGGTCGAGCCTTAGGACATGATTGAAACAGTTAAAAAATTGGAATACAGGGATCGGGATTGTCTTTTGGAAATGCCCCGCGGTTTCCGATACTTGGACGCCCTGTGGACCTAACCTACAAACACGATCAGATAATCCACGGGTTTCTCGTAGACTCGAACAAATGACTTGGGCCCAGAGAGCCCTGAATAAATAAGCCCAAGCCCAACCCCAGACCAAGGATTTTTTTTGGTTAATCAGCAATAACTTTCCCCTTTTCCCCTTTTACCCCCTTTTTTTCTCTCAAAGTGCTGTTGCGGGGAGTCGATGCTGGGACAAACCAGCTAACACACCAACGTGCCAGCCCTCGATTGGTATGGCGTGGGGATTGGGGAGCGGAATCAGTTAGCAACCCAGGGTCTCAACAGCCGGTCACAATTTAGTTTACCATGGTTTTTAAAACTGGACCGGCCTGAACGGTCGGACTGGAAAAACTGGGACTGATCACATGACCAATTCCATTTTCCCCCAAAACCGTTTTTTTCCCCAAAACTGTTGATTTTGGCCAGCAAACCGCTGAACCGCCCGGTTAATCGTTCAAATGGTTTTGACCGTTTTCCAATTTTTTTGGATTTTTTTATTTTTTTATCAGAACGGGCCAATCGGGTTGAACGGGACCGTTCAAACCGATAACCAAACCCTTGGCTAGTTCGATCACCGGTTCATTTTTAAAAACCATGAAGTTTAAAGCAGTGCATTGGAAACATCTCCCTTATCCTTAGTGGAGAGAGATTCCCAATATACAGTTGCAATGGCTCTTGGGACCCTTTTTTTTTTATTTTTTTGAAAGACTATACAACGAGGTAGCCCATCCCCCAACTCAAGTGCAAGGGAAGATTCTATCCCAAGTTTCCAAAAGGAGATCTTACCAACCAACTGGTTGGCATCTTACAAAAGTTGGGGTGCAACATGAGGATTTCTTAGGAGGTCACCCATCGTAGTACAATTCTCACTCAAGCACATTTAACTTCAGAGTTCTGATAAGATCCAGTACATTAGTGTTGGTATGATTACACCCTTGTTGGGATTAGATCTGAACTCATCATCAATATAGGTGGTGTTTGGTATCAAGGTGTTGTGAAACTGTTGTCATTTCCTTTAGTAACACATAAATAAGCGATTATGCAGGACTCTTGTTTATGAGATCGACTTCCATTAGGGAAAATTTGTGCCCACACCATTCTAACAGCCTTTCGCAACCTTGCATTGAGAATATCTCTCCATGAAATAAAGCACACAAGTACGGAGATATTCTCAATGCAAGGCAGTAAAAGCTGCTTGAATGAACTTTGCCCTAAATAAAGTCGAACTCCTTGTTTACTAGGTTGATTAAGTACAAATGTTTTGTATCTTTTATCTTTGGTTATGTAAAACTCACTTTTAAAGGAAATATCATTTTGACACTTTGTTGCATTTTTCAATTTAGGATGCATGAATGGAAGGGACACACAATACCATAATACCAAACAATCAAACATTGCCTATATCTGTTTTTGTGGGCAATTTTGGGCCATTCTATATGAGCAGCTGGGCTTTAGGGCTGGGACCTGTATAACTCTCCATCCATATATTTTACTTTCCACTATTGATTAATTCTTTGTGAGATGTTTTCTTGAAAATTATCTTGTGATCCTAATTTTTTTTATTATTATTATTAAAGTTGTTTTAGGTACAACTTGAAATGTTTTGAGTTTATCAACATAAATTAGCATATAATTGTTATTTGAGGTTGTTTATAATTGATACCTTAAAAATACGTAAAGGGAGGATGTTGTTTCTACTTGATCATTATAGTTCAAGAGACTCTTTGTAGTCTTGTATGTAATGTGACAACAAATCTCTCACAAATCTGCACCGATTCAACCCAAAAATTATAGATAGAAACAAAAAGAGTACCAACATGACCGTAAGTTATCCCTATTTAATTAATCTGCTGTCTCAATCGGGTGCCACCATTAGGCTAAGGTGGCATTTGATAAATCTGAAATTTCATATCTGGAAAATTAAAAAAATATAATGTTTGAAATCCGAAAAGAAGCATATGTGCTTTTCTACTTTTTAAAGGCTCTAAATCCACAAGTTTGTTTGTGTTAGATCAACCATTTACCATATGAAATTTACTGATTTTATTATTTTACCCCTACAACATACTATTTGAAAATGTTGAATTCAATTTGCATTATCTCATAAAAAATAATTTTCAACCTCAAAATAATATAGAAACAATACAAATAATAATAATAATAATAATAAAATGACGTATTAAATTCTTTTATTTATAACAGCCTTCCATTTGTTGGATTTTGATATTCAACATCCCTTAACAGCCTGTTTGGTTGGTGCGACGATCGAGAAATAGTGAGATGTGGTTTCCCAAAACTTAGAATGCGGGGTCGCACTAAAACGGTGCGACCCTAGTGAGAAAGGAAACCATGTGCGAAAAGTACAAGTCAAGCTGGTCGAGGTTCGGTGGAGGTACATTGAAACGGTTGCACTGTAGTGGCATCGTTAGGGATGGAGAGGTCCAGTGGAGGCGCAAGTGATGATAGTCCGATAGAGGCACAAGTGATGAAGCAACGAACACGCGAAAAATACAAGCCAATTTGATCGAGATCCAACGGAGGCGCATTGAAACAGCCGCACTAAAATAGTAGTGGCATCATCAGAGGTGAAGAGAGGTCCGGTGGAGGTGCAAGTGATGAGGCGGCGAACAAGGTATGGTAAAACAGGGGTGGTTGAAATCAAGGAAAACGGGAGGGACAAAGGTCTTGCTATCGTTACTGGTTCAAGTAGCAGAGGCAAGCGAAGAAAAAGATGAAGAAGAGGGAAAAAAACAGAACGAGGGAGGGGGAAAAGAGGGGAGAGAGAAAGAGAGAGACGAGGGAAGATTGGAACTCACCTCATCGATGCCACTAGTTTTGAGTTCAAAAGGAGGAAGATGATGCTGGTTCGAGTTCGAAGGAAGACCATGAACGATATAATAAATCAAGTGAAAAACTTATTTTTTCTGAATAAGGGTATTTTTATAATTTTGGGTATCCTTAAAGGGTATTTTTGTCAAAATATAAAAAATCAAGCAAAAAAATTTTCTCAGCAATCAAACACCAAAATGCCAAAATGAAAAAATAAATTTTTCCTTCTCATTCCATCCTTTGCCATCCCTCCCGTCTCAGCAACCAAACGGACCATAAACGTGAGAGCTTCACTACTCGTAACTCCTAAAAAGTAGGAACTAAGAACAAGAACGAAAAATGGAAAAAACTAAGAATTGGCAATACAAGCAATAAGAAGTTAAGAATGCTGGGGTCATATTTTGATATGGCAAAGTTATCGTGATCTTTTTTTTTTTTTGGCTTTTCATTTACCAGGATAATGCTTTACTAATAAAACCAGACCAGCCTCATATCATATGAAACCACCCCAATGGGTATGGGTACCCATCACACAATCCATACTCATCAACAAATAGCCATCCCTGTGACATGTCCTCTCCCGTTGACAATCAATCAATCCATTTTACTTGATGACTTAAAAAGAACAGAAATGAGAAATATATGACGAATTTTTATATTTTCAAGTATTGGCTTTGGCTAACCCGACACTAACTAGTATAACCACAAATAAATACAAGACGGAATGAAGCCCAAGCATCCTCTTTCTGTTTTTTTTTTTTATCGGCAAACATGAATACTTCCTTGGATCATATATGGAATAAAGGATGAAAACTACATGGAACAAACAAGGAAATCAACATCCAAATACAAGATCGATTAATAGATAAACCAGATCCTGGAAAAAAGAAAGGATTAAACAATAACAGAAAGTTCTAGTACTGAGAAGATCCTGGTGGGCCAGGAGGTTGTTGATATTGCTGCGCTGCTGGGGGGGGTGGCGGCACCACAGACTGATATGGTGGGGGATATTGCTGATAAGGTGGAGGTGGCGGGATATATCCATATGGTGGATAATAAGGGGGATACTGACCTTGATGCGGAGGCATACCTTGGTAACCAAATGGTGGCCCTCCATGTTGCTGCTTCTCTGAACCTGCTGCTTTTGCCTCACCTGATCCGCTTGGGGCACTACCGGACCCTTCCTGAGATGAAACAAGTGCACCCATCCTTTGAGGATCCATTGAAGGATAATAGGTCCGCTCTGGCGGGAGTGGAGGTGGAATATTAAAGTAGTGTATCGTTTGTGGCTGGTCCTGCGTCCCTGGTGGTTGCAGCTGCTGGTTCTGCTGTTGAGATATAACAGCCCTTGGTAGCATACCACCATGTGCTACTGCCTGCTGTCTTGAGGCCTCATCATCTGGGTTCTCYGACTCTGGTTTTGGGGCCTGGGGCCTTCCCCACATTAGCTTTAGTCTCACACCCTTTATGACCAGCTTATTGGAGAGCTCTTCTGCAGCTTTCTCTGCACCTTCTCTTGTTGTGTAGGTTACAAAGGCACAAGCACGCTGAAGAACCATTCTTATAGACTCAATCTCACCATGGGCATAGAAGTGGTCCCTCAGATCCTGCTCAGTGATCCTTCCATCAAGCCCACCAACATAAAGAGTCTTAATACTTTCGTCTTCAGGGGGCACCAAAGATGGCATTTCACCTGCTTTGTTCAGAAGTTTCAGTGCAACTGGATCATTCACTCTGCAGAAATGGAGACAATAATCATAAATTTGACTCAGAGCTAATGCCAAGTTGGAGATCATAAGCATGGCACAAACAGGTAAGATTTGCAAAATAACACAAAAGCTACTACCAATAGGTACTGTTACAGTACACTCAATGCCTTGACAGAAAGAGAATAAAGGTAATGAATTATATTGAAGAAGATGGACTATAAGGATTTGGTTAACCACCCAATGGCAGTTTGACCTGATGCCATAGGCAAAGTTTTTAAGCACATCGAAGCAGGGTTAGGGGAAGCTAATTCTTGATCTACTGTACTGGGAAAAGAGAATATATAATGCAAAAAGAAGTTAAAATTACAAGTAAACCCCACCTTACTCAACTTTCTACCAGGGGGACATGAAGATCAATCTGACATCTTGAGATTGAAACACGTTAACTTGAAGAGTCGACTCGACTTGCAGTAAACTTACTAGCAAATAATTGATTGACCAGAACCTCAGTAGCACTAATTATGTTCACGTATTATCAAATATATGTAAATGCATATGTACATTGTATACAACTGTAAAAATAGCCATGCATACACAACTGTTCATATGTATTATTGATTGGAGAAAAGAACCCCCTAGATTCAAGAGAGCTAATTATCAATTTTACAAGTTCCATGATATCTACCAAAGATACAATTTACAAAAAGGTAATAAAACTATAAGAGAATACAATCTAACTAAATTAGTAACTCATTTATATGGGTATCATAGTTTTCAAGGCGCCAAGGCAAGGGTAGGCGACTGGGGGGGCGCCTTGGCACCTAGTTGCCTAGGCAATGGATTTTTTTATGTTAAAACATAGATCCTAGGGTAGTTCCCTAGGTATCATAACCATAGTTCTTTAATAACTATTCATGATTTTCATAAGAAAAGTATAAATTCCATATTAAAGTATAGAAAATCAACATATTCATGAGAAGAAAAGGAAGAAGGAAAATAAAATTCAAAAAATATAGGGGCTGAACCCTTATTTTTGTTATAGGAAAAGAAGAAAATAAAAAGTATTGGTAGTAGTAGTAGTAGTAGAAGAAGAATATATGGAAGAAGAAAATGTGCTGAT